GTTAGCGGCCTGATCTATCTTTTTTTTAATGGCGGTGGCACCCCACAGATGGAGTATATATGGTATCATGACTGAACGGATGTATGTGTTAACTGATTAGTGAGAACTGGCGGATGTGGTGCATGTGGCAGAGGAGCATAATAGCCATCGCAAGGGCCGATATCGTTCTCACGGTACCAGATACCCAGGTGAAAACCATCCCGTATATTGTTCTCTGTTATTGCATACTTAAGGGCTATTTCTGTATGCATGGCAGCACTGTTCTTAACGGCATTCTCCACTTCTTTTTTGTCATCTTCAATGCTTTTTTCAAGCCTGTTAAGCTCACTTTCCCGCCGGTTTTTTTCTGTCGCTTTTGCGGTTCTGTAATCGCTGACCGCATCCGTGGCCTTCTGCACTTTGATCTTCCTTTCCCGGTATTCAAATTCTACAGCTTTCAGTTCATCTACAATGTGCGGGAAGTATTTTTCCTCCCAGGGTTCCATCATCGTAACTGCCTGTACCGGACTACTGTCCTGTACCTGCTCTTCCTTTTTGGAATTGCCGGTCAGGAAATCAAAAATTTTTTGAAAACTACGCTGCTCACTCTCCTTTTGGGCCCGCTTAGGAGCATTTGTTGCCCTATTGTTGATGGTAGCGCTAAAAGAAAAATGACTAAGCACATTTTGCACAAGACTACCTTGTCCCGGTGATACTTCTGTATATACATCAGGCGTTTGAGGTGCGGAACACATTGAAATCCGATGAGTTAACAACAACTGGATGTTTTCAAGGTAATTGGCTGTTTCAATAAGTCCCCGGCTTCGTATGCCATAAGCAAATGAAATCCCGCCAACCAGGCTGATGCCAATGAACAGCAATATGGCATAACTGGCTTTGCGACCAAGCGGCAGGAAAATAATCGCTTGGGATGTTATGATGGGAACCACTATAACGCATAGCACGCATATAAGGAAGGAGGCCAGTACAAGGCAAAGCTCCCGGTTAGCCTTCACCCAATTGACCGCGCCTTTGGTGTTGTCTGATTGTATCTTAAGCAGTCTGGGCTCAACGATCTTAATAATGTACAAATAAATAATACCCGCTAATGAAATGGCAATAAAACTGCCGAAAATCACCCCCTCTGCGCTTGAGCTGATTTTGGGTAGTTTGCCCGACAACTGTTCTGCTGCTGCTATTAAAAACAGGCCTGTGATAAGCACCAATGGA